CGACAACCAGTCCAGGATGGTGGGAGTGATGTCTGCCGGGAGAAAAAGCAAACAAAGGTAACGAGAAGTCTGAGAGGAATCGGGAGAATCTTTAATCTTTACCTCATCTGGACCTGAAACGCTCCTTTTGAAATTATGAAAGGAGAGTTCAACTTTAGTTTAACGTCACATTTGAGAGGCCTGAACCAGTGAATATATAATAGAATTTGGCAATAATTACTCACTTTAGCATTGTATCCTATCACATGATCTATGTAAATTACTGTTTTATTTTCTATTATAACTATATTTTGTGTTGAAGTCTCTGGCTGTAACCACAGACTCTCTTTTCTTTTCTCTCTTTTCCTCTCTCTGTTACATTAGATCCACCTTTAGGTCAACACAAACACACACCATTTTTTTTTTTTACCACATTCCAAAGTCATCTGCATGAATTAGGACCTGTCTGCCGGGAGAAAAAGCAAACAAAGGTAACGAGAAGTCTGAGAGGAAACGGGATAATCTTTACCTCATCTGGACCTCAAACGCTCCTTTTGAAATTTGGTTATAATTACTCATTTTAGCATTGTATGCTATCACAGAAATGTCTCAAAACACAGTAGAATACAACTCAGGATAGAAGAAACATCATATTTGAGAGGCCTGAACCAGTAAATATGTTCAAGTATGAAGAGTTTGTTAGAATTTGGCTATAATTACTCACTTTAGCATAGTATGCTATCACATGATCTATGTAAGTTACTGTTTTATTTTCTTTTTTAGAACTATATTTTGTGTTAAAGTCTCTGGCTGTAACCATAGACTCTCTTTTCTCTTTTTCTTTCTCTGTTGCATTAGATCCACCTTTAGGTCAACACACACACACATAGACACCATTTGTTACCACATTCCTGTCATCTGCATGAATTAGGACCTTGCCTGAACCTTTCATAAGAAAAGAAGACTTCCCTTTCTTTGATAACTGAACTGCTTTTTTTTCCAGCTCATCTCAGAGACAAACGGTTTCCAGAGCACAACAATAACCATTTTAAAAAAGGAAACATGTCGAGTTGACAGATACTTCCAGTCTGTTCACTGTGTCGTTATTATCTTCTGTCAAAAGCCGCAGCACATTTGAGTAATAACGGATCTGAATGAAGATTATTTGGTTATTCATATGAATCCTCTCAGTCGGTGCTCCGTCTCCCTCTTGTGGTTCTTCAGCCAAATCAGAACGATAAAAAACAAACCTCCCGGCTTTGTGACTCCTTTCCTGAACTACAGAAATCCTCCATTTAAACACTAAAGAGGTTTGTAAACCCATTTTATGAGGCTAAACTGTTTTCCTGAGGCTAACACGGCTCACAATAAGAACTCAGATCATTATTTTTTAGCCAAATGAGACGCTGATGCACCGATGACAAACTGGACGGCCTCCAGGACACTGGGCCCAAAACCCCCACAATATGGAAATCCAGATTACAAAGGATGGTATTACTGACTCCATCTAAGTGGGGGGGGGCAGACACAAACTTCAGCGTGTGAACTATGTTAACACACAGTTAACGGGGTTTTTCCTCCTCGTAACTCACTTCTAATTCCTGTAATTCCATAAATTTTGTCATCATATTGAAACCATTTTACCGACCTAAAGCTGATGATTTTAACTCTCTCTCCAGTTTTCTGTTGCTCTGCTTAGACTGAATATATCAAAAGATGCTCTGAATGTGTTATGCTGTTCATCCATCTGAAGATACACACTCCACTCAGAGACCCCCCCCCCCCCAATCGGGATTCAAACCCCAAACCCAGTAACCACACCCCAGTGCAGCCTTTGTCTCTGCACCATTTCAGGTGTTATAGCTTTGATTTTTGGAGTCTTTATTGGAGCTGCAGACTGCAGGAAGCCAAGGATGGATATCCAACTCCGCCCACATCCAAGTCAGCCATTTGGATGTTAAATAGGTTTGTACAATAAGTCCAAACAAGTTTAATCAAACAAATATGAAGGCTGGAGGGTCAGGGTTAGGGTAAGGGTAGGTTTAGGTTTGGGGTTAGGGTCAGGGTTAAGTTTAGAGTTAGGACATCGTTTATCTTCCGATTTCGTATAGACAGTAAAGTTTCGCTTCCACCTCAGAAAGCTGCTAGTCACATGACCTAATCAAAATGGCCGACTTGGATGTGGGCGGAGTTGGATATCCAACCTGGGCTCCTACAGGCTGACCCTAACCTGAAACTGCCCCAGGAAATGAGCAAAAACAGATAAATACTCTGGAATCAGATCCCCTCTCGATATGTGAGGAGCAAAACCGAGGTTGCTTATCTTTAACTTGCAATGTTTGAAACCACGCCACATTTTGCGTTGCTCCCTACCCAGCAGGCTGACGAGGGCGGGGCTGGCCTCCCCCCAGGGTCAGGGTTAGGGTCAGGGTTAGGGTTAGGGTTAGGGTCGGGGTCAGTGTTAGGGTCAGGGTCAGGGTTAGGATTAGGACATCATTTGTCTTCCGATTTCGTATAGACCGTAAAGTTTCGTTTCCACCTCAGAAAACTGCTAGTCACATGACCTAATCCGACTTGATGTGTGACAGTCGGATACAAACCTTGGCTCCTACAGACTGACCCTAACCCTGACCCTAACCCTAACCCAGACCCTAACCCTGACCCTGACCCTGACCCTAACCCTAACCCTAACCCAGAGCGCTGCTCCCTACCCAGCAGGCTGACGAGGGCGGGGCTGGCCCCCCCCCCAGCGGCCCCGGTGCTCTGGGGAGGACAGCAGCAGGGGCTCCGCGGCCCCCGGCCCGTACAGGTTGGTGCGGCCGTTGGGGAACGGGACGCCGTTATCAGAGCTGTAGATCACCAGGGTGTCGTTCTCATATCCGGCAGCCCGGAGCTCCCCCAGGACCAGCCCGATCCCTGCAGAGGGCAAGGCAAGGCGTTTTTATTTATATAAGATAAGATAAGAGCTTTATGGATCTCACAGTGGCTAAGTTTTTTACTAAATGAGCTGCTCAGCTCCTCTATAGATAATCCTCTAATATAGCGCAATTCATACCAAGCGGCAACTCAATGTGCTTTACATTAAGACAAGACATTTAAAATAAAAAAGAACAGCATAAAACAGCATAAAAAAACAAACAAACAAACAAACAATTTTTTTTTTAAAAGGTTAAAACACAGTTAAAAGCAACAGTTATAGCGCAATTCATACCAAGCGGCCACTCAATGTGCTTTACATTAA